GAGTAGCCGGAATTACAGGCGCGCGCTACCACGCCCGGCTAATTTTTTGGTTTTATTGTAGAGATGAGGTCTCGCCTGTCCAGGCAGGTTTTGAACCTGTGGGCTCGGGCAATCCACTCACCTCAGCCTCCCAAAGGCGCGGGATTACAGGCTGAGCCACCGGGCCCGGGTAGCATTTTAAAAGGATGAGTTTGTGCCGGTCTTTAGGGAGATAAAGGCCCCAGTCACATCTGAGTTCCAGATTTTACCAGATTGAAATATCAGATCAATACACTCTAGCCTTGCAGATGCAAAGGCAGAGATACAGCAAAAGCCCTGGCTTCCTGTTCCTCATGGCAGATAGGTAGATGCCAGGGGCCAGGCAGACACCAAGGGCCAGTGACCCTGGGTGCAAAACAACACAAACTGGTGCAGGGACCCAAGTAGCCAGAGGGCCACTGCCTCCCTTGTCTTTACCAGAAGAGTTCCGTTACCTTTTCTGATCTTGTCATGAAAGTTAATGGCATCCACGGAAGCCGTGACGATGTTGGTCTTACAGTGGCGTGCAGCCACGATCCCAGCTACCTCATCCATGAGCTTCATGGTGACGCCTGCAGAGAGAGAGGCAGGTGGCAGATGAGACACGGAAGAAGGCGAGGTGGTTTCACATCCTGGAGAAAAGTCACAAGAACAAGTGCTCCTGCTCCTGAGCCAGTGCCAAGTCAGCAGAGGCTGTAGGGTGCTCGGACATGGCATGCTGTGGCTCGTATTTTAAACCTGGCTTTCCCAGGGCTTTTGAAAATGACCCTGAATGGTATACTAGGCCACTGACAAATGACAACCCTTTTGCTCTCCTCTACAGATATCTTGCCAGCAAAGTTTTGTGTTAGTATCCACTGGGATGGGTGTAATCAGACACTCAGGCAATGACAAGTATTGGCAAGGAAGGATGTGGAGAAATCAGAACCCTCAGGTACCATCAGGAGAAAGGGAGACTGTGCCATTTTGCAAACACTTGAGTTTCTCAAAAGGCGAAACACAGAGGCATATATGACCCAGCAATTCCACTTCCAGGTATATACCCAAGAGAAATAAAACATATGTTCAGCAGGAACTAGTACACAGACTTCATAGCGGTATTTATGTACAACAGTCAAAAAGTGGAACAACTCAAATGTCCACAAACTGAAGAGTAAACAAACGTGGCCTATCCATACAATGGAATGATACACACCACATGCAGATGGACCTCAGAAACTTTATGCAAAGTGAAAGAAGCCAGCCACGAAAGACCTTATGATGCTGTTACATGAAAAATCCAGAACAGACAAATCTATAGAGACAGAGGGTAGACCAGTGGCTCTCTGGGGACAGGGGATGAGAAGGAGACAGAGTGACTATAGATGAGTACAGGGCTTCTTTTTTGGAGTACTGGAAGTGTCCTAACATTGATTGCAGTGGTGGTTGCACAACTCTGTGAATATACAAAACACGCTATGACTGGTATACTTTAAACAGGTGGATCGTGTATTATGTGAGCTATTCTCAATAAAGCCACTATACACAACCAACCAACACGGACCCACTGAAGGAGTGCCATAAGGCCGAGGTGCCCATACGACCTAGGTGGCTGACGTCTGCCTGTGCCAACCCCCTTTATCAGACGATCGCTCCTGTGCTGGCCCTCATGGCACAGCACATATATTACACTTTGTAGACTCAGGTGCCTCAGGGTCAGGTAGGTGCCGGCACCAAACATAAAGGACACAGAGGCAGGCCCAGGTCCACATGCCCACCTCCCGACTAGGCCATGACTTCAGAGTGAGTGCGTGTTTAAGTGTGCATGCGTGTGTGCATGTGAGTGTATGTGTGTGCAAGTGTGTGTGTGCATGTGATTGTACGTGCATGCTTGTAGTGGGGGTGTGTAGAGGCAGTGAGAGAGCCCACTGACTGATTTCTTCTAGGTTAACCAGTCTTATGAAAAAATTGAGTTGTGACAGCTGGACAAGTGGCCCCGTTCACGATGGAGCCAGCGCAAGGTGGTGGTTTGGAATTTAGAGGCGTTTTCCCCCAGACTCACTCTGAGTACAGTAAGCAAACTTCCCTGGGTGGCCACCAAAAGCTCCATGAACCTCTCATGTAGTATTGGGACCAACTGCATTTACCATGAAACCCTGATAATTTATGTTAAGAAATGCCAATTCAGGCAGGCCATGGTGACTTGCGCCTATAATCCCAGCATTTGGGAGGCCAAGGCAGGGGGATGGCTTGAGTCCAGGAGTTTGAGACCAGCCTGGGCAACAAAGGGAGA